CCTCCCTCCCTTGCTCCATTCCTTTCTTCCCTGAGGCTTGAACTCAGGGCCTCACACTCTCAGCTGGCTTTTTCCTCAAGGGTTAGTACTCTACCAATGAGCCATGCTTTCAGTTCTGGCTTTTTGTTGGTTAGCTGGAGATAAGAGTGTTTCAGATTTGTCTGCCTGGGCTGGCTTGGAATGTGCATCCTCAGATCTTAGCTTCCTAAGTAACTATGATTATAAGCATGAGATACCAGCATCCAGCTACTTTACATTCTTTATGTCACATTAAAGTCTGAAATCTGGGATGTATTTTTACAATTACAGAACAATCCATCAGCTTGTGGTCATGTTACGGGAGCTGAGTAGTGGTGTCTGGTTAATGACAGTGTACTACATGGCACAGGTAGGTGTTGATAGAAACCAAAGAGGAGAACAAGAAGGCAGAGTGTTCTGCTTAGTGATGTCTGTACAAAGCACTGGGCTTTCGTTGTCTGAGATGCTGAAACAGCCTTCTTATAGCTGGCTTTGTTTTTTAAGTTAAAATAGTTCTCAAATTAAAAATTTAAGAACAAGCCAGGTCATATCCATATCCAATATGCATCATCACAGTTTATCCATGGCAAATACCAGCACTGTTCTCTTGACACTTCCAACACCCTGTGGAAACTATCTCCAAACCAGCTGAGCACTTGTCCATTCTTTTTTTTTTTTTTTTGTCGGTCATGGGGCTTGAACTCTGGGCCTGGGCGCTGTCCCTCAGCTCTTCAGCTCAAGGCGAGCGCTCTACCACTTGAGCTACAGCGCCACTTCACTTGTCCATTCTTATCTGCTCAGTTTTCACTTTCCAAGTCAGTCTGACTCAAAGTTGTTGTAGGTTTCTGACTCATTTGGCTTAAACTTAAGTTTCTAGATTAGTCACTAAATCTTGATGATTCTGTCTCCTTAACTCTTCTCTCTCCTGTCAGTATTTAGTTTTGACCATAGTTTTCTACCTTGACTATGGAAGTAACCTCTTAACTGGCCTCCACACCCACCAAAGGCTTAGTTCTGCCAAGTCACTGTGTAATATACAACTCCTAGATACCTAGAAAATAAAGCCAACATTTAGCCTTTGCATTGAAGCTTCCATTCCTTTCCTGGCTCATTTCCCTCTGCTTTCTACCATTGCTTCTCAGGGTCCAAATTAGCTCTGCTTTGACACCATTGCTTATCTGTGCTTTGGTTTAGGATAGCAAACTCAGTTAACATTTCTTCTGAAATGTATCTATTCTCTAGGAACTGCACTCTAGAACCACTTACTCCAAAACTGGTGCTGTCTACTGAAGGATGACTTTTGTCACACTCAGTTCAATATTATTTGTATACAAGATACTTCATAGGATCATACAAGATCCTATAGGGCAGAGACTGTTTCATTCACTCTTGTATCTTCATAGTACCAAACACAGTACCTTGTATGTTAAATAAATGAGCAGAAGGCAGGTAGAAAGGCTGGTTTGACAAACTGGCCTCAAAATTCAACTGAATAGCTGATGACTCAAAGTCCTTTTAATATTATAGATATAAAAACTCAGCTATAACACCATCTGTATATGGTCACATATAGTCAGGATTTTAATATAAAATAAATAGAAAAATATCTTGAGATTATAAAGGAAAAAGTATTATTTTCAAATCTATCAAGAAAAACATCTGGTATCTTACTGCTAGCTACATCTTTATACTTTCTGATTTGGAAGTTGTACAAATCATACAGCTTACAAGTCAAAATGCAAAAGCTAAATTTTTGTTTTGTTTGTGAGCACAAAAGATATACCACTGCTTTCTAGAATATACATCTCTGTGTTATAAACATTACACTTAGCTATAGCTGGGCAGAATGAATATGCTTTTAAATTATCTTTATATAGGTGATTAATGTGAGTAAAGGGAGCAGTCTGAGAGGCTAATTGGCCCTGGTCATATGGGTTGAAGATAAGGGCAATTTAAAATTAAGTAAAAGCCAGGTGAGATGGCACATGTTTATAATCCTAGCTAGTTGGGATGCAGAAATAGGAGGGTCATGGTTCACGACCAGACTAGGAAAAAATTATCTTAAAAACAATTTGGATGATGGCGAATGCCTGTAATCCTAGCTACTACTTAGGAGCCAGAAACAGGCAAACATGGGAGATGCTAAAAACACAAAAAGCAGAAGGTTTAAAAGTGTGGCTCAAGTGAGAGAGCATGTGCATAACAAGTGTAAAGCCCTGAGTACAATCCTTACTATTGGCCAAAATGAAAAGGCAGTCGTTTTTAAAGCTGATTTGAGTCAAAGATAATACAATATCCTTTGAACTTATGGACAAAACAAAATAAATATAAGTAAGTACTGAAATGTTGCTTGGATTTTTAGAAGGTAGAAGTACAAAGAAATATAGCAGAACCAAGTTTTCCTGGTGGGTTTTTCAGTAATCTAAGAGAAGATCACCTTAGAAATATAAAAACAAAAAAATGGGCCCTTGATCTTTACCTTTAGACTAAACAATTCCATTTGTAGGAGTCTGTCCTGATGACATACCTCCAACAATATGAAAGTATATACATTGGTCATATAGCTATTGTAATTGTAAAATATTGGCAATTGCCTATATGTCCATAAATAGGATGCTAAATAAAGATGCTACCTATGGTGTTCTTACTCTACAGCCATAATACTTAAGACCACTTCTATAAACTGTCATGAAATGATATCCAATATATATTAGGGGAAAAATATCCAATATATGTTAGGTGAAAAAAATACAAGTGCAAAAATATTCTGCTTCCTTCATGTAATAACAAAGAGGATATAAGAAAATACACTGTAATCCTAGCTACTTAGGAGGTTGAGATCTAAGGATCATGGTTCAAAGCCAGTCTGGGCAGGAATGTCTGTGAGACTCTTATCTCCAACAAACCACTAGAAAACTGGAAGTGGCACTGTGGCTCAAGCGGTAGAGCACTTGCCTTGAGCAGAAGAGCGCAGGGAAAGCTCTCAGGCCAAGTTCAAGTCCTACAACCGACAAAAAAAAAGCAAAAAAAAAAAAAATAAACATATATGCTCATTTATACAAAATCGGAATGGATTGGAATAGAATACAGAGGATAAGTGAAGGGCCTGACAGAGAGGAGGGAAGGGCCTGATACACAGGAGGAAACACTGCTTTTCAACTGCATCTCTCTGTGAAGCTCTGACAAGAGTCCTCTAAATGCCCCAAACAAAACCAATTTAAAGTAACTATGATATGGCATGAATACAAAACAAAATATAAAGTAGCAAATGACTAAGCATATCATATACCCACAAGAAAAGGAGAGAGAAAACAATTAACCTAAGTAAGAGGAAAACAGTATTTTAACAGCATAGCTGTTAAAAAGGCTGTCTACAAAAAAAGAACTATAGACAAAACAGTATGTTGGGGAAGTTCTCAGAGATAGTGGCCAATGATTTTGTAATGATGTACACATTAGAACTGAGGAAATAGACTGGATAATCAGAGTCAGGTTTCTCATAGTAAACAGAAATATGATTGGCCCCAGGGCTGCAGCAGGCTCAATAGGCTGTGGCTTGATTGCCCACTGGAGACAGGAAGGGGTAAACAAGGCTGGGCACTGAGAGAACATGGAAGGCAAACTTAGGAGGCACCCCCTGGCCAAAGCTTGGACAGGAATCTACAAAATGTTAGTATTCTAGAGTAATACTAGTACTACAGTATGATAATAGGCATTCATGGGCTGATATTGCTTAAAAACCACTGAATAAATCAAGGGAAAAGACTAGCTCTTCCTTGCAAAAGAATTCCAATTAATGAATGTAAAAGCAAACAACAGAAACTGAAGCATACCATCAGGCTGGCACAGTTAATAACTCTTGCAAGTTACAATCAGAAACTATCAATGGATGCTCAAATTAGTGGGTATAATGTTATGTGCAGAGCTTCAGAGGACAAAGATTGGAGAAAAGTGATTGACAGCACCTTAATAAATTGATAGAAGTTAATATCAGGGCCAATAATATCCATATTTACATGACCCACCTGTCCTAATATTAGGCCCAGAGAAAGCACAGTGATATTCTGGAAGAAATCCATGTTTTCAAAGGAACCCACTTGAAGACATTAGACAAACTCAAATTGATGGACATTCTACCAAGTTGCTGAACAGTACTCCTCACATGGTCAACATCATCAATCACCAAGAAAGACTGAGTAGCTATCAGAGATGGAGGAGTCAAGAACACTTGACAACTGAAAATACTGGAAAGTAAAAAACTAGATCCATAAAGGTATTAATGGTAAAAACCAGTGCTATCTAACTCTTTCCTCCAATTAATCACCCAAAAGCCAGAAGTGAAGCTGTGGCTCAATTGGTAGAGCACTATCCTTCAGCAAAAAAAAAAAGCTTAAGAGACAACATCTAGGTTTCAAATTGAAGCCCCAGTGTATGTGTACGTGTACACATGCACATGAGCATGTGCCTACACACTTGCACGCGTATACACATAGACACACACAATTGAGAGAAAGCTTAGGTTTCTGTTTTCATTAACCTCTATCATTTATTTATACCTCGATGGGGAAGTTGTGCTACAAATTATGTTAACATAGCCTTTCTTCGTATCTGTCAGTCAAGAACAGGAAGCAAAAATCAAATTCTATTCCTTCCTTTTCTCATGCTTGAGATCAGACCCTGAGCACTCTCCCTGAATTTTTTTTTTCCCTCAGGCTAGTGCTCTACCAATTGAACCATAGCTCCACTTCTGGATTTTTGATAGTTAACTGGAGATAAGGGTCTCATGGACTTTTCTGCCAGGGCTGGCTTCAAACCATAATCCTAGATCTCAGCCTCTTGAGTAGCTAGGATTACTAGCAAGAGTCACCTGCCCTTGGTGAAGACACTCACTTTTACATGCTCAGTTTTTGTCAAAAGTGAGCGCACCGTGAATGAATGAAACTTACTACAAGATCTCTAGGCTATAGGAATTGTGTACTTACGCTCTATAAAGGACGTGAAAAGCATTCGAAACCTGCTAAGCCGACTACCTTCGTCTGCCCACATGCGGATAACCCCAACTCCTGTTTTGAGTGTTACATCATTGGCCACAGTACTGCAGAACTTGGCTTTCAGATTCTCAATGGCACTGCTCCCATCATAGACAGCAACAAAGTTTCTCTTGCATTCATTTGAGTGTTCCATTTGGTAGTCTAGGAACCTCAAATAAATCTGAAACATTGAAACAGAAAAACACTGCTTTTTAAAAATGGTTCATTAATTTAAATTTTTCTATTTCTATTATCTACAGCCAACACTGAATTATGACAGGAAAACAGAATAGATAAATGGCTGATATGTAAGTAGTTAAAGGATGTAAGCCTAGTGGAGCATTTCTTGTGTTAAAAATAGAAGCAAACCTTAAGGAATCTAAAAAGGGATTCTGCTTTCTGCCATGAGTTATCAACTGTCTGACAATTCCATCAGTATAAAGGCAATCTCATGGAAATGACTTAGAGGAAATGAGTCATTCCATTTTATTATTCTAACAATCAGTGTGAATAACTGGTGAACTTCTTGTTTTTTGTTTCTGTACATTTTAAAGCCTAAATGTAATCAAAAGATATACACATGCCTTTTTTGTAGTAACAAATCAAAAAACCTTATCTCCTCTCTTTATCAGCGTGGTTTACAAATCTCCTGTCATATTTATCCATTATTTGATTCTAGCACACTTTAGTTTTAATGTTCCAGTCCTAATGACACCTGCATGTTGAAGAAAACACAACTAGCATTTGGTTTATTAAACTTTTATAGGGAATTTGTTACTGAGTGCTATTACTTTAGGAAAGTACTGGAACTTGAACTCAGGTCCTCACACTTCCTTTGCTTGATTGCTCATTACTGGCATGATACCACTTGTGCCACACCTCCAACCCTACTTTTTGCTGGTGCTTTTGAAGCTTGTCCAGGGTTGTTCAGAGCAGGGTTGTGAACCAAGGTTGATCTGACTGTGTCCTTCCCACTCCACAAGATGTTTACATATGCATATGCACACACACCTTTACTCTTTTGGCTTTAGTTGCTCATGTGTGAACAACTAAATAAAATAAAAAATAAAAATTTAATGAGTGAATGTTTCTTGAACTAACTGCTTTCCTGAAAGTGGTATGCCACTCTTCATTTAAAGGGCTTTATTGTTTTATTTAATAAAACATGTCACATATTTTTCCTCTGTAGATTACCTTGAAGGCATGAAGCTAAGAACAAAAACAAAATGTACTGCTCAAAATTTGACCAAGTAACTTTGGTATATTTGAAATGACTAGTATGCCATTTCCGTAAGAATAGTAAACAATTATAATGAAATAGATGGCCTGTTCTAGAACTTCATAAAGTCTTCATGCATGCATTTTAATATAAAAACATATGGTTTCAGTGGGGTGTGGTGGTTCATGCCTATAATCCCAGCTACCTGGTAGCCCAAGGCAGGAAATTTGCAAGTTTGAAGCCTGTAGAGAACTTAGTGAGAATCTGGATTCAATTTCCATATGGGGGAGGAAAAGAAAAGGAATACATTTTCTTAACTATATCATCAGTTCTCTTTCTCTGTTACTTATATAACCAGCCCTCTCTTCATGGTCCTATGGTAGCAAATCTCACATAACTGTCTCCTCTATTTGAGGAGAGGACCATATGCTAAATTATGTTCAAGATAATACTTGTCCCAATGGGGAACAAGTAGCTAGGTATGTTTGGGACCTGACTCAAGTGGCAGGCATTCAGCCTGCTCAGCACAAAGCTCTGAGTTCAAATCCCAGTACTACCAAAACCAAAACTGTGAATTGATAAAATTCAGTATAATCAAGACAATCTTACTATCTGAAGTAGTTACTTTCTGTATTTATTTTCATTACTGACACAGAGGGAGATTTCATTATTACATTTCTTTTTTTTTAAGACTTTTTTCTGGTGTTACCAGGGCTGCTTCTATTTTCTACAAAGAAATATGGCTGTGCTCAAGTCTACAGTAAATGCTTTACAAAGATAATTAAGGGCTAGGAATATTGCTCAGTGGTAGAGTGCTTGCCTAGCATGCATTATGAATCCCTGGGTTCAAATACTCAGTGCCACACACAGAGAAAAGACCAGAAGTGGTGCTGTGACTCAAGTGGTGGAGTGCTAGCCTTGAGCAAAAGAAGTTCAGGATAGCACCCAGGCCCTGAGTTCAAACCCAGGACTGGCAAAAAAGGATATAATTTAAAAAATCTAATTAAACATGTATAAAGACTGTATATCTTTCAATTGTGAATGTAGTAAAATATCCAAGCTAATAGTTTGGTTCAGTTAACTTCCAGAAAGCATTGATAACATGAATCTGGCAATATGATGTGTGTAGGTGTGTGAAATTTCTCTTGCTCCAGAGGACATGAAGAGAGTACCCTCCACTAAGCACTCCTGGACTCTAACCTGATCCTGTATCTCTTAAAGATGTATATTCTTATATAGCTGAGGGTTTCTATATCATTTTCTTGAGGAATTTATAACACTAACTTTGTTACAATGCCTTCTCTGGTTGTCAGGGTATGTTTTGGAACTAACATGAGCTTGCTTTGACCTTCCTTTCACTTCTTAGAAGATACTTTCTAGTGTTCCAAAGCTTGCCAGTGGAATCTGGTAGCAGTGCAGCGTTTTCTGTTAGGTTTTTAACTATGACTCTAATTTTGTGATAAATATAGCATGATTCAGTTTCTGTATTCCCTGTAGGATATGTGTAGGCAGTGTATATGTAGCTTTTAAGGAATTTGTCCATTTTATCTAAGTCCTCTGATACTGGGGCACAGAACACTCTCTTCCTATCTCCTCCTTTGTGTGTTCCTATTGAGAGTTAAACTCAGGGCCTAAACTGTCACTTAGTTTTTTCACTCATGGCTGGCATTCTACCAGTTCAGCCATACCCTCACTTTAGGCCTTTTGGTGGCTAATGGGAGATAAAAGTTTCATGGTCTTTCCTGCCCAAGCTGGCTTTAAATAGTGGTCCTCAGATCAGGAGCTATTCAGCCTCCTGAGTAACTACAATTACAGGTGTGAGCCATGGGTGCCTGGCTTCAATTTTCTTTTTAACAATACTAGAGTGATAGCCTCTCATTCCTGGTATTGGTAAGAGGTTTAGACTTACTCAAGAATTTAACATTAACAAAGCTCTATGACTTAAGTATCACTATCCTTTTGTCTAAAGAACTTTTTATCATTTCTCTTACAGCAGGTCTAAGGTAACAAATTTTGTCACTCTGCCTTCATCAGTGTATGACTTCATTGTGCCCTTATTCCTGGAAGTTTTGCCGGATATAAGATTCTGAGTTCATCATTTAAAAAAAAAATCTCCAGTATAATTGGCTATTTTTAGTTATTATAATTCCTAAAGAAAACCCACAGTATTCAAATCATTGTTCCCTTATGCAAATAGCACTATTTTCTCTGGCAGATTTTAAGAACTTTATCTGATTTTGATGTGTGCAGTCTTTTTCTCCCCCCCCCATTAGTGTTAACTGAACTTCTTAAATCTACACATTTATGTCTTTTACTAAACTTTGTACTTTTTCCACAATTATTTCTTCAGATATCATTCTGTGCAAGCTCTGTTTCTTTTACCTGGCAGGGCTTAAATGGTTAGGCCTTCTGACATCGTCTTACAGAGCTCTGAAACTCTGTCAAGTTATATTCAATTTTGTTTTGCATTTCAGATTGGATAATTTCCACCAACTTCATCTTTAAATTTCTATAATCTTTATTCTGATAGAAATTATATACCCTCGGGGCTGGGAAGTTGGCTCAGTGGTAGAGTGCTTGCCTTGAATGCATGAGGCCCTGGGTTCGATTCCTCAGCACCACATAACCAGAAAAGCCGGAAGTGGTGCTGTGGCTTAAGTGGTAGGGTGCTAGCCTTGAGGTGAAGAGCTAAGGGACAGCGCCCAGGCCCAGAGTTCAAGCCCATGACCGACAAAAAGAAAAAAAGAAATTATATACTGTGAATTTTTTACTGTTTAATTGAAGTTTTGTGTACTTTCTGCCTGGGCTGGCTTGAAACTTTGGTTCTCCAGATCTCAGTTTCTTTGAGTAGCTAGGATTACAAGAATAAGGTATCAGCATTCTGGTTTTCTTTTTTATTGAGATAGAATCTCACTGTGAATCCCAGAGTCCTCCAACTTGAGATGTTCCTATGTCAGCTTTCCAAGTAACTAGAATTTTAGGTTAGTGCCACTACACTACTCAGTTTTGAGCTATTTGTGTGCAGTGGTGGGGCAGTCCTGGGCCTGGGCACTATCCTTGAGCATTTTTTGCTCAAGGTTAACACTCTACCACAAGTGTCAAGCTCTGCTTCTGGCTTTTTGGTGGCTAATTGGCAATAAGAGTCTCACCAACTTTCCTGCTCTGTCTGGCTTTGAACTGTGTTCTGCAGATCTCAGACTCCTCAGTAGCTAAGAGTACAGTTATAAGCCACTGGTGCCTTGCCTAGATTTTTAAAAAAAATTCTCTCTTTTTATATGTATGGTCCTGGGGTTTTAACTCAGGGTTTTGTGCTTTCTAGTAGTCACTTTACCACCTAAGCCAAGCTCCCAGCCCTGTATTTTAAATTTATTTCTGCTTTTAAAATGATTACCCTTTTCTGTCTTTGGATATGTCATTTTTTTAACTCTTGATTTGAATCTTAGTTCATTAAATTTCAATCTTTTTTTCTTTTAAAGAAAGTACAATAAATGAAAGCTCCTAATGTCCTCAAAAGTATTCTGTGAGCTGCATAGCCCAATAACTTTCTTTTTATGGTATTGGGGCTTGAACTCAGTGCCTGGGTGCTGTTCCTGTGCTTTTTTGCTCGTCTGGTGTTCTACCATTTGATCCACAGCATTACTTCTGGCTTTTTGCTGATTAACTGAAGTTAAGGCTCACAGAACTTCTTGCTTGCAGACAGGTTTTAAATCTCGATCTCAGTTCTCAGCACCTGACTCAAGCCACTTATAACTGAGAGGAGAAAAACTTACTCACTGCAACTGAATTTGGTTTTCCTTGGCAATCACCACTTTTTGAAATAATTATATCTTCCTTGTGAATTAGTGACGTTTCTAATTTATGTTTCAATAGTTACTGTTATCTTTGGAGAGCTGTCTGACATTTCTTTCTTACTTTTTGGAATTTGAGAATTTTAACTGTAGCATTTATCTATTACTTTTGATGTAAAATCACTTAATTTTGCCTTGAATCACAATTTAGATACTGTTGCGGAGGTTAGGTGACTAGTATTTTTCTTCCCAACACTGTTAAAATACTATTCTGTTATATTTGATCATCCATTGTGCTATTGGTGGTTCTGGTAAGAATTTTAAGAGTACCCGTTTTGACAAGAAATATCCTTATTACCTTACTTATGTAACTGTAACCCCTCTCTATATCACCTTGACAATTAAAAACAAAACAAAATAAAAATTTTGCTGGGCACTAGTGGCTCACACCTATAATCCTAGCTACTTAGGAAGCTGAAATTTGATTACAGATTGATGGGCAGAAAGATCCAGAGTAGAAGCGTGGTTCACGTGATAGAGCCTCAGGCTTAAGTGAAAAAAATCAACAGATTGAGAAGCCCTGAGTTCATGTCCCCAATTTTTTTCTTTTTTTTTGTGGTATCAATCTAAGTATAATTTAAAGGATATATTTCCCTGGTGGAGGGCCTTTAATCAGTGCGTTCTCTCTCTCTCTCTCTCTCTCTTTTTCTCTCTCGGTAGTAATGGGATTTGAACTCTGGATTTTGGTCTTGTTAGGTAGGTAGGTGCTCTATGATAGAGCAACACTTTTGAAGTGGGGCTTGTCTGGACTGAGCTATTTACATTTCTCATCAGAGCTAGGATGACAAGTGCAACCACCATACCCAGCTTCTCTTGCTGAGATGAGGTTTCAGAAACTTGTCATTTGGCTCAGTATGGTCTGGAACCACAATCTTCTGACTTCCTCTACCCAAATATCTGGGAGGCAAATATGACACACCAAAGATGGCTTCTCTCTTTTTATTAGCATATATTAATTGTGCTACTTCCATATGTAAAGATAATGTACTTTATCAAATTCACCCCTCCATCAATTCTTGGAAATTTTCTTAACAGACATTTATGCTATCTAGCACTACCATTCCCCAACCTTTTAATAAACATACTTTTTAGTACAGAAGATTTAGTTGGTTACTTAATGTATCTGGTCATTTTGAGTTCTCTTCTTTCTTGTAGGATATTTAAAACACAAAAGTTTTGTAGGGCTAAGATTCTTCCTATTTGTTTTGTCTGTCAATTTTTACTTCACAGGTAGGATGGGAACACAGATGTTCTCTAACTTGGAATTGTAACCCTGTAGCCTCACCGATTATTTTAGATTTTCTGCCAAAGGTTGTATGGATTTATGTACCTTTCTTTAGTTTTAGGTATCAGTAGTTCCTGGCTTGAACAAGAAATGCAAAATTCCGATCTCAGGCCCAAAGTATTTTTGAGAAAGAAAGACTTCAACCTTACTTCCACCCCTGTCCCAAGAACAAGCCAGAAGAACACGTTTGCCATTGGCACATGTTAGTGGAAATATCTTCTGGCTTATCCTATGTCAATTATCTCCCTCCAAGGTCCAGCTTTATGTAAGAGGGGTCTCACAATGGTCACATGAGCCCTAGGGTTTTTGTTTTCCAAGTGGTGTTAAAGCCAAGCTCCCAAGATGGTAACTAAAGAAGCCATAGGCATTCATAACATTAGCTTCAGTTACTCTACTAATTTAGTTATCTTGCTTCCTTTTGAATCCACAGAATTACTTTATTTCCCCCTTAAATTTTCATATGCTTTTAAAAGGATATTTGGAGTTAGATAACTTACACCTGTAATCTGGAGGACTGCTGTTTCAAGCCAGCCTGGGCAAAAGTTTGGAAGATTCCATCGCTACCAATAAAACCTTGGCATGGTGGTGTGTACCATCATCCCAGCTACTCTGGAAGCATAAGTAGGACTGAGGTCTAGGATGACTAGAGACAAAAGTAGGAGCCCTTGGGAAAATTACTGAAGCAAAATGGGGCATGGTTCAAGTGGTAGAGCACTTGCCTACTAAGGCTAAGTACCCAAGTTCAAACTCTAGTACCACAAAACAAAAACAGTGATAAAACAAAGACATGGATATTTATAAGTTTTAAATCAATACTTCTCAGTATTTCTAAGTGTTTCTTGACCTGTTTGAGTGTTTTCCAGATTATGGATCACAGTTCGGAGCCAATCCAGAGAGAAAAGTACATGAGACTTCATTTCCAATTAACAGTAAAATGCTGCAATGATGGTATTGCTCAAGAGGTAGAGCAAAAGCTGTGAGCAAAAAAGTCAACTGAAAGAATGAGGCCTTGAGTTCAAAGCCCTCATATTAACAAAGAAAAGAATCATATTAGCATATCTGAATATCTATATATACCATATTACCAAACTGTATCTGGCTTTCTTTTCTTTTCCTCCCTCTCTCCCTTCCTTTCCTTCCTTTTTTTTTTTTGGGTCCGGTCATGAGGCCTGAACTCTGGGCCTGGGCGCTGTCCCTCAGCTCTTCAGCTCAAGGCTAGTGCTCTACCACTTGAGCCACAGCGCCACTTCTAGCTTTTTTTCTTTTTGCTTATGTGGTGCTGGGGAATCAAACCCAGGGCCTCATGCATGCAAGGCAAGCGCTCTACCACTGAGCCACCTTCCCAGCCCTCCTTCCTTCTTTTTGGTGGTACTGGGGAGTGAATTTAGGGTCTCATGCTTCCTAGACATGTGTTCTACCACTTGAGCCATGCTTCAGCTGCTTCTTGCATTGGTTATTTTTGAAGTAGAGTCTTGCTTCATGTGAAGGCTGGCCTGGTTTTTTATCCTTTTACTTGTCCTTCACTGTATTGATGGGAATGGGGATAACAGGAGAGCACCATCACAGCCAGCCATTGTTGGAGATAAAGTCATACTTTATCCTAGACTTCTATACTTCTATTCCTAGACTGGTCTTAAACCATGATCCCTTGATCTCTACCTCCTGAGTAGCTAGTATGACAGATCGGAGCCGCCATATCCAGCTCCTGAAACAGAAAATTTTGCTATATAACCCTAACTAGTCTTGAACTCAGTTCTAAAGCGCTCAGATTATAGGTATTCTCCACCATGAACAATTTCATGTTTCTTTAAAAGGCACATTCTCCCACTTGCTCTTCTTTTCTGTCTCTTCATGTATGTATATGTTAAAGTCTAATTTTAAATCTGTTGATATTCCTACAAGTATAAATTAAATGCAAAAACTAGTTAGCAGCCAGCCTCAATCTGTGAAAGTTATTTAAAAATATTCTCTGCAGAACTTTCCATAGAGGCTCCACATGATCAGCAAAGGCAGCACAGTAGGAACACAGAATAAGACTCAGCATATTTGTGATTTACGCTTATAGAACAAATCCTGGTTAGAAAGTTAGAAGGTTAGAGGTTAGAAGGTAAACTAATCTTTCCAGCCTTATCTTCCTCCTATAAGAAAAGTTTTGATCATACTGATCAATACTTGCATTCACCAATTAGGAATCCATATATTATGAATTCAGGGCCCTGTCCCTGAGCTTTTTCGCTCAAGGGTAGTGCTCTACCACTTGAGCCACAGCTCATTTCCATCTTTCTGGGAGCTGACCAGAGGTAAAAGTCTCATAGTTGTATCTGCCAGGCTGGGTCTAAACTATAACTGTTTGACCTCAGCTCCATGAGCTGCTAGGATTATTAAAACCATATCTTGTACCAATCAGCTATTATTATGTACTTCTCGGAAGTGATTCAATATATAATTATACCTTAGCTTTTGGAGTTGCTTTAATTGTCCATATGCAATCAACTGCTTGGCCAGGTTTTGTTTTGTCTTCTTGTTCTACCTGACTAGAACGCACTATTCCATCAGCTCCCGAGAGCTCAAACTGGCAATCTAGAGAGAATAAATGAATAATGTTCAAAGGAAAACAAGACTAATCAAATATGCCACGGGTAAAGCAGGTAATATACTAAACCTGGGATGGGATTTAAAATACCTCCTAGGTAAGTAAAGTCTGGATCTGTAACAGAAAAAAGAAGAAAAAGGATGGTCACTGATACTGGGTTACTTTAGAGTTAACATTTTAGGCTATATCTAAAGCTGTATTTGATAGCAAGATTAAGAAAAGCTTTCACTGATACAGACTATGTCTCTATCACTAGTACCTTACAAGCTTGCTTATGAAACTAATAGTTATTTAATGATGTGTATACTTTTGATCCTATCAAATTCATCATTTATGCTACTTCAAAACTCATATCAACTATCAAAAACAGACACTAGTTCTCAGACAGTTGAAAAGGTAAGTAAAATGTGGTATATACAATAAAATAGAATATTATTTAGGCTTTTGCTTAATCATACTGAAAATTATCTTCTAAAATTTGTGGTTATATGGGCTGTGGTGATGGTTGCCAGGTACTGTAATTACTGTACTTCTTGCTACTATACTGTGCACTTACAAGTGCTCCAAAGGTAATTTTATTACTATGTATATTTTACCATTTTAAAATTTAGCAGGAGGCTAATTAATTAATAAATAGTGGCTCATTCCTGTAATCCTAGCTACTCAGAAGGCTAAGTTCTGAGGATCCCAGTTGAAAGCCAGCCTGGGCAAGAACGACTGTAAGACTCTTATCTCCAATTATATACAAAAAAGCCAAAAGTGGAACTGTAGTTCAAATAATATGACATCAACCCTGAGCAAAAAAGCTGAAGAACAGTGCCCAGGTCCTGAGTTCAAGTCCTATTACTGGCACGCATGCATGTGTGCGCACACACACACACGCTCTCTCACACACACACATACAATCACAGCTATTGGCATCTTAAAAAAAATCACAAAGTTCAATAGAACCTGTATAGATCAAACAGTAGTCTGGAAAACTTATTTCATACATTTGCATTTTGTGTGCTTCATTCTTGTTAACTAAAAACAGTTTATAAAGTCATCCAACTGTGGATTGAAAAGAAATTATTACCTTGATTTAGACTATATCTCAGAGACTGTTCTTTTTTTCATGTAAACTCACTCTTGCTAAAAAGGAGCTGTAGACATTACAGTTCTTTTACATGTCAAAGAGAAATTTAAATCTTAAGCAGCACTGGGAGCAAGAGTCAGTAGCTATCTGGCAAACTGATCAATTTTAAGATATTATTATATTACATTTCCCCCTGGAAGTAAGCCAATTAAAAAAATCTCTACAAATATCACTAATAGATTAAAAATTTGATTAAAAATCATTAATTTCTCAGCATTGTTAGTGTTTCTTCCAGACTTACCACTCTCTAGACAAAGTTTGTTTTAGAAACATGACTATGAATAACAATTTTAGAAAAAATTTCACTCCTATTTACTTTGACATGAGTTGTTTTTCCTCCTTTTAGCAATACAACTATAGAATACTCACTTAAAAAATACTAATACTGGAGCTTGAGGTTAGGTTCTGGCACTCTCCTTTAGCTTTTTCACTGGCACTCTACCATTTGAGCCAGCTCTACTTCCAGATTCTTGCTGGTTAATTGGAGATAAAGAGTCTCATGGGCTGGCTTTGAAGCTCAAACTTCAAGTGTTAGCCTCCTGAGTAGCTAGAATTACAGGCATGAGCTACTGTACCTGGCTCTCATTTATATTTTAAGGGTAACATGGCAGAATAAAAGTTGCATATAGTATTGGAATCTTATCTTAGATTTGTCATTAGAAAATCAACCTCTAAGGTTCTTCATCTAGATCACAGAATCCTTGGTTGTTACTGTCATTAGCATAAAATTAAATACAATGAATTTAAAAAATGAGGCATTATAAAATACAAGTTAAAAATCCTAAACTTTGGCATAATTTGTTTATAGTTTAACTATAAATCACGTAAAACTTCTCTTATGATATGTAAAAAAGGAAAAACAAAGGTCCAAAGGTCCAAACTACCTTTCCATAGAAAGTTGTATGTTATTTTAAATATTTTAAATATTGTTCAAATTAGACCACTTTTCTGTTGCCTTTTTCTTTCAAATAGTATAAATGTACTTGTTAAGATCTAACCTGAGAATTAAATTCTGTAGTAGTGTCTTTATGACATTGAAGTTATCAATTATTTCTATAATTGAGTTAATAAGAATCAAATACCATTTAACCAGATATTATTATATCTTTATATATTTTATATATTGAACCAGTTATTTTTATCATAAATGATAGTTCTCAAACTAGTGTAAACTAGCTGTCAAGGCAGAATAGCTTATATGACCTGTATGACCAATCACCATTCTTTTCTTTGCCATTGTGAGGGAACAGTTTAGTAGTTATGACTTTATAATTGGGATAAACTCTAGCCCAAATTTTTTTGAGATAAGATCTTGTAACCTAGAAATAAAATAAATGAAATGTTGCTATCAAAATAGCCCAGGATGGCCTCAAACTTACAACCTCCTTACCATAGCATCTTGAGTAGCTGAGATCACTGTGTGCCTCTGTCACCATTTAAAACCTTTTAAAATGGCATTAAATTCATTCAGTGTTGTGCAACTTTTATTCTGGAATTTTTCTGGACATTGCAACTGAAAGTTTCTTCCTATTAAATACCAATTCTCTCTTCTTTCTTCCCTGGTCCCTGACAACCATTCTACTTCCTGTTCCTATGATTTTTTTTAATGACTCCTTTAGATAGCTTGTATAAGCAGTTCATAAAATATTTTAATTTTTATTTCTGGGTACCTTTATTTAGCATGTATCTTCTACATTCATCCATAATATATTATAATTTACCAAAATCAGTTAGCTTATATCCTTATCAAAGCTTGCACATAGATGTTTACAGCGGCTTTATTCATAATTGTTGCAACTTGGAAGCAACAAAGATCTTTCAGTAGAATGGGTAAATCAATTGTGGTATAATCAGACAATAAAGTATTATTTAATGTTAAGAAAAGGAGCTATGAAATGACATAAACAACCATGTATTCATAGAGTTGAATGAAAGAAGTCAATGTGAAAAGGCTGATACTGTGTGATTCCAGTTATACATGATACTCTGGAAGAGTATAACTGCGAAGTTTACTCTTCTCCAGTGGCTGGAGGGATGAATAAGTGGAGTGAGCACAGGGGATTTTTAGGGCAGCAAAAATATTCTGTCTGATACTCTAATAGTGGACACATGTCATCAACACATTTGTCAAACCACAGAATATACAATCTTTGTTGATCTCTAATGGTGATCAATGTTGATCTCTAACACTTGATCTCTCAAAGGTGATCTCTAGGGTAAATCATGTGTTATTAGTGATAATGGTGTATGAATATTGGGTCACTGACTGTAACAAATGTATCATTCTGAGATTGGAGGTATATGACAACTGTAGGTCTGCTCGGTTTTACTTAACATGATTCTGGTGGGAGTTTGTTGTTGATATCTGCCTTGAAGATTTCTTTTAAAGGCTCAATTTGATTAGCCTAACTAAACCTTTTCTAACCTTAAGTTTCTAGAATCAGAAAGAAATATTCAATCACTAAAAGAAAGATAGCTTATTCTTTACCTGGAATAAATGAGTATTTTGCTCGAAATCCCAGTCCTTCAAGTTCTTCATCAGAACTAAATTTAATCCACATGAATCTCCCTGTTGACCTAATTAATGGAGGGCTTTTCATGCCACAGTAACGATCTATAAGAGGAGAGAAACCAAATGGCCCATCTCGAACTTCCAAGTGATCAAATCGACATTCAAATGATGGTTCTATATAATAATGTTCATCAAAGGTCAACTCTATTCTTTGACGTGGAGCAGCTATAAAATAAGAGTAAGCAAATCAGGGCAGTATGAACAGGAAAGATACACATGTATGGACACAAGTGAGAAAAGCAAATCACTCTATTAATATTTTATAGATGATAGTCATAGTGAGTATTATTATAAGTCATAATAAATATCCTATTTCATATAAGTAGAAATAGAATAACATTTCTCTTCGGTATATGCTCTTTGTTTTAACCAATTTATTTGTAAATAGATTTGACTGATTAAAACTGATATCTTCTATATGATATATAGAACAATAAAAGAACTTACTAATATGAACATAAATTTGCATAATACCTAATAAGAAATGCTAGTAAGTGTAACTTTCCTATTAAAGAAGTTTGTCATATATACTATTTTACCTAAATTATACTTTAGTAGATTCCAAATTCCCATAACCTTTTAACTATCACTTGTTAACATACTCAATATTATGATATTTATTTTACTCATATTTATTTATTCAGTATAAACTATGCTGAATTAATACAGAGTGCAGTATAAAATATAAAATTCACACTGGTTTAAACAAGGTATTTTGCCAATGTGGTTAGTTTTATAATAAGAAGTGACTATTTCATACAATTAAAGACAAAAATTGGACAAATACCTTCCAAGATGTAGATGCACTCCTTGTTTGGTGGATAGGAGTTGGGATAATTTGGTGAAGCAAAATGACCTCCATTGCTGGTTCGAACCCAAATGCCACACTGAGTTGGAGGACTATGCTTGATTCCAATATTTTGTCCATCTTTAGGAAAAACAGAAATTTAGACATTATCCCAGGAAAAGAGAATAACATTATTCCCTTTCCCCCACAATTTCTAACAATTACCCATTCTAGTGCAGATATATATGTGTGTGTGTGTGTGTGTGTATATATATATATATATATATATATATATACACACACACACACATATATATATATCCCTAAGAACCAAATTTAACAGAACAAATTCAGTACAAAAGTGAGAGAAAGATAAGATTTCTGTATGCAGTGCTTGTTGAAAGAATTTGTATCTGGAGAAGTTGGCTACGGAAGAGAACAAGGAAATAAAATGCTTACATTTGACAATGTAAAAAACATGTGGGAGGATCTAATCAATTGATAACATTTAGTAAAATTCAGTCTGATATAAAAATAAAATTATTTCTGGAATTATCTCTGATATAGTATATTTATACTTATTTTACCACATGCCAAGTAAAATTCAAAGATTACAGAGGGATTTTAGTTAATGATTGTCACTGAATACATGCATTTACTTTTACAACCTCCTTAAATTTCACTTGTTTTTGCCTGTACTAGGACCTGGCAGCCTTCACTCTCCTTTCTTTTCTTTTTTCTTATCCTTAAGTACAGATAAGTGGACACAATTCTAACAGCTGTAAGAAATGTATTTTTAAAACCCAGTAATCTGGGCTCCCATGGTTCACACCTGTAATCCTAGCTACTCAGGAAGCTGAGGTCTGAGGATCGCAGTTCAAAGCCGGCCTGGACAGGAAAGTCTGTGAGACTCTTATCTCCAATTAACCACCAGAAAACTGGAAGTGGCACTGTGGCTCTTGAGTGCTAGCCTTGAGCTGAAGAGCTCAGGGACAGTGTCCAGACCTAGAGTTCAAGCCCCACAACGGACAAAACAAACCAAAAAACCCAGTAAAAACAAAAATAAAATAAAGCCTTCCTTTAATCTACAGAGATAGAAAAGCAAGTATATCAGAAGACATGAACAAGGATATTCAAAGCAAAGCATATTCGGAAAACAAAAGAAAGCTTCCATTACAGGAGAAAGGAAAGCATGAGAAGAATGTTTGGTGCTTAAAGCTGAGTCTACTGAAGTTTCACTGAAACACCCACGTCCATTACTGGCCTATGTACTGGATGCTTTCACACAAAGAAGAGCTGAGCAGCTTCCTCCAGACTGTGGCCTGCAAAGACTTAAATACTTTTAATCTGAACTTTTACAGAAAGTTTTCTAATTCCTAGTGTTGAGAATAAAGTTAAGTAAGTCTCCCAGAATGTGGCTCAGAGGGCGAGATGAGAGGTTGAGATAGGAGGATAGTAAATTCAAGGTCAGCATGGGCTATAATAGCCTTGAATTTAAAAAAAAAAAAAAGTCCTACCATGGTGGTGTATGTCTATAATTCCAACACTTGACAGGCAGATGCAGAAGAATTTCCAGTTATTTAGAAGATCCTGTCTCAAACAAAACAATATAACTAACCTCTACCTTCCAAAAACAGGTAACAACCAAAAGGGCTATAACCAAGTAATAGGAATTTCTGAAAAGACAAACACAGAAAATGAAAATTTAAAAAATTCAACAGAAACAAACATTTCTCAAACCCAAAAACAAAATTCATACTGAAAAAAACACTCTAAATCCAGATGCTGATATAACTAGAATTGTGGTAAGTTATATTGAGAAGGCTGATACAAAACAGAAAGCTAGAGAATGCTTTCTGGAAGATATCTTCAACCTTGTCCTCTAAGCTGAGAATTAGGAATGCACTCTGTGGGTGGAGTGGGCAAGTGTGTGAAAGAGCTAAATTCTTATCTTCCATGGTAAGAAATAAGTGATGTCTAAAACAGAAATCAAGAAACATCATCATAGCATGTTGCTTAAAGAAAAGAAATACTTTAACAGGTTTATTTCCATGAAGCAGGAAATGATAAGTACAGATGGGAAAATGGTTTTTCCTAGTTGTTTAATACATTTTGATTTTTATCATGTGTATACATAACTTTGGTGAAAACCAAATCAGGTCATACAGGAAATGCACCAAACTGACATGTAAATCTGGCTTAAAAATTGCAGTAGCTAGCTAATATTTTTTCATACATCAGGAAAATGAGAATAGATTTAAAGGGCTTTGAGTACTATTTTGATAGAAAGGCTTTACTTGTTTACATTGAAAAAGGGATTTTAAAAATTTCTTCTTTATGATAAAGTACAAATACATAGTGTATGTAAACCATTATACGCGAGAAGCTACTGTTTTTTTCATCTTGTTCAGGAAGACTTATATGGACATTTTACTCTACATGCAGCTAAGTCCAGTTAAATTGAGGTTTACTGGTTGACCGAAAGCCTTAGGTCATGAATTATCCCAAAAGACTTATGGAAATAGTATTCAAAAGTTGCAATCCTTTTCAATCAGCCCTCCCTCTGTCCTGAAAATGCAATGAGTTATCATCATACGTTACCTTGAGTCTTTTGGGCCACAGCGATCCCTTCTACTACAAGTATTGTTATTAACAGCACTAGAATAATAGAAAAGAAAAGTTAAAAATTGAATATATACTGTATTTTACTAAGTCTATAAGGAAGACCTGCTGACAATAACTAAAATCATAATTTCTTACCAATATTCATTCTCAAGTTTGTGGTGTGTGTGTGTATGTGTGTGCTGACCTTAGGGCTTGAATTGAGAAGCTTCTGGATTTTTGGTGGTTAATTGGAAATAAAACTCTTATGGACTTTCCTTTCCAAACTGGCTTTGAACCTTGGTCCTCAGATCTCAACCTCCTGAATAGCTAGGATGACAGCTGTAGCCACTGACACCCTGGCCACTCTTAAGATTTTTTTTTTTTTTGTCGGTCATGGGGCTTTAACTCTGGGCCTGGGCACTGTCCCTCAGCTCTTCAGCTCAAGTCGAGCACTCTACCACTTGAGCTACAGCGCCACTTCTGGTTTTTCTAGTGGTTTATTGGAGATAGGAGTCTCACTGTCTTTCCTGCCTGGGCTGGCTTTGAACTGCGATTCTCAGATCTCAGCCTCCTGAGTAGCTAGGATTACAGGCGTGAGCCACCGGCACCCGGCTCACTCTTAAGATTTTTAAGCATTAAAAACTATTTTCTGATTTATTATTTGACCCTGAAGAGCTGAAGGAAAGACATGGCTGATTTTGAACTCATTTAACTCATGGGACATAAGACATTTTTCTTTTTTATTGTTCAAACAGATTTGGATAACATGTCCATTTATAAGCACAGTGCATTCTGAATGGTCACTCCTTCCATCATTCTCCCTGTCCCATTTATCCCACATCTATGGATCTCAAGTTTCCTAATTCAGTTTTCATGTATGTACATTGATTATTATCATTATAACCATCCACTCACTATTCCTCTTTCCATTCATCTGTCCCCTTCTTTAAGCATGCACCATTTCAGTCAAGACGTTTCAGCTTCTTGGTATTCATTTTGTTAAACTGCTTGTTAACTATTCAAAGGGGTTATAGCATGGGATCTCTCTCCTGTATATGCCATCCCTTAGTCAGTTTGATCACATATATATATGCATTTGCCCTTGTGTTTTCAAATGTTTATTCTTCAAGTCTAACTTCCACATATAAAAGAAAATGTTCCTTTTGCCTCTCTGAGCCTAGCTTACTTAACTCAATATTTTTTCCAGGTCCATCCATTTCCCTGTAAATAGCATAATATTATTCTTCCTGATAGATGGATGAAATTACATGATATACCAGATTTTCTTGACCCATTTGTCAGCTGTAGGGCATCTGGGCCGTTTCTGTAACTTGGCTACTGTAAATACAATTGCAATGAACATTGATGCGCAGGTGTATTTTTGTTGTCTGTTTTTTAAATTGTATTCTGAGTTGCAATCTTTTGGATAAATGCCCAAGAGAGGCACTGCTGGATCACAGGGTAGTACTATTTTTAGCTTTAGTGTAAATTAGTGGTTGCACTTTTACATTCACACCATCAGTATAAGTTGATTCCCTCCTCCATTTGTTGTTGTGTACATTCTAACCATACTAACTAGAGTGATATAGAATCTCAATGGTTTTGTTTTGTCTTGTCTATGTGTGTGATAATCCTGGGGCTTGAACTCAGGGTTTGGGTGCTGTCTCTGAGCATTTGCCCTCTATCACTTGAGCTATAGAAGATCTACTTTTGCTTTTTTTCCCCTGGCTAATTGAAGATGAGTGTAGTAAACTTTTCTGCTCAGGATGGTTTTGAACTGTGATTCTAAGCTTTCGGCCTCCAGAGTAGCTAGGATTTACAGGCTTGAGCCAATGGCACCTGGCTCAGTGTTGTTTTGACTTGTATTTACTTTAAAGTCAGGGATGTTGAGCATTTATTCATGTATTTATTGGCCTTTTATATTTCTTCTTTTGAGAAGTGTCTATTTAGTACGTTTGCCCATTCATTAACAGGATTATTAAGACTCTTTGGGGGTTTACTTTTCTTGAGAGCCTTATATATTCTGTTTATTAGGCCTTTATCAGACAAATAGCTGGTAAAGATCTTCTCCCATTCTGAAAGCTGTCTTTTTAGCTTAGTGACTATGTCCTTCACTGTGCCAATGCTTTTGAGCTTCATGAAATTTCATTTTTCAATTATCTTGCTTATTTGCTAAGACCCTAGAATTCTACTGAGGACATTCCTGCCTATACCAGTAAGTTCTAGTGTTTTTGCTCTTTCCTATAGTAGTAGTTTCAAAGGCTCAGGACTTTTCCTGAAGTCTTTGATCCATTCTGAATTGATATTAATACAATGTGAAAAATGAAGATCCAGTTTTCCATACGGATATCCAGTTTTCCTAGCACTATTTACTGAAGAGTACTTTTTTTTTTTTCATGTTTTTGGCTTCTTTGTCAAAAATCAGATGGCTGATTTCATGTCATTTCTAGGTCTTTTCATCTGTTCTGTTGGTCTTAGATCTGTTTTTGTGCCAGTACCAACCTGTTTTTGTTACTAGATCTATGAAGTATAGTTTGAAGTCTGGGAGTGTGGTATCTACAGCACTGCTTTTCTTGCTCAATATTGCTTTGGCTATTTAGGGTCATTTGTATTTTAATATAAAATACTGGATTGTTTTCCCCATCTCTACAAATAATGACAGTGGGATCTTGATGAGTGCAGCATTGGATTTGTAAATAGCCTTTGGCTGTATGGTCATTTTTACAGGATGGTAATTCTGCTAATCCAAGAACATGGGTGGTCTTTCCCCTCCTGGTGTCTTCTTAAGTTTTTTTTGGGTGGGAGGTACCAATCCTGGGGCTTGAAATTAGTCTCTTTGAGCTTCTTTTGTTCAAGGCTCAACCACTTCAGCTACAGATCTACTTCTTTTTGATGATTAACTGGAGTTAAGAGTCTCACAGGGTATTCCTACCCTGGCTGGCTTTGAATCATAATCTTCCTTAAGCAGCTAAGATATTACAAGCATGAGCCACTGGTGCCCCACAAAAATTTTTATAGTTTTTATTCTAGAGGTCTTTCACCCCTTTGTTTGGGGTTATTTCAAGTTAATTTTTTAAAAATATTTTTTGAGGGTATTCATTGTATACAAAAAGGTACTGGCTTTTGTGTGCTGATTTTTTTCATCCCAACATTTTACCAGTATCAGTAGAATATTGGGATATAAACAGTTATAAGAGTTTAGGAATGGAGTCTTTAGGGTCCTTTAGACATAGTATCATATTAGCTGCAAATAGAGATTTTTCACTTCTTCCCTATTTGGATTCCTTATAAAAATCTTTATATTCTCTTATAAAATATATGTAATCTTTCTTTTGCCTTATTGCTCTGGCTAGGAATTCCAGACTATATTGAGTAAAGTGGACATCCTGTCTCACTCCTAATTTTAGAAAAAATTGTTTCATGTTTTCACAAATTAGTATGATGTTGGCTGTAATATATATATGCATACATATATATATTTATTTAATATATCCTATTTCTTTTTCAATTTTTTAAATTGTAATAAAGGAGTTAAAGTTACTTGTCAGGTAAAGAATACATTTCTTTTTGGACAATGTCAGCTCTTCCTTTGCTCTCTCCCAGTATTTCTAACTTCTTTAAGGTACACCTCTCTCTCTCTCACTCTCTCTCTCTCTCTGTCCTCTCTCTCGCTCTCTTTTGTGCTGGTCCTAGGGCTTGAACTTTTGGCCTGGGTACTGTCCTGGAGCTTTTGTACTCAAGGCTAGTGCCTTACCATTTGAGTCATAGCTCCACTTCCAGCTTTTCTTGGTAGTTTAATTGGAGATTAGTCTCACAGACTTTCCTGCCCACACTAGCTTCAAACTGGATCCTCAGATCTCAGCCTCCTGAGAAGCTAGCTAGGATAACAGGTGTGAGCTGTTGGTGCCCCACAAGGCACTTTGTTTTTATTTATTTATTTATTTATTTGGGTCTGGTCGTGGGGCATGAACTCTGGGCACTGTCCCTCAGCTCTTCAGCTCAAGGCTAGCGCTCTACCACTTGAGCCACAGTGCCACTTCTGGCTTTTTTCTTTTTGCTTATGTGGTGTTGAGGAATCAGACCCAGGGCCTGATGCATGCAAGGCAAGCTCTCTACCACTGAGCCACCTTCCCAGCCTCCACTTTGTTTTTTATAAACTTGTAGTCTCCTGTTTCATGCAAAGTATACTACCAACCCCACCCCTCAAAAGTTCTGAGTGATCTGCTCCTGAAGAGCATACTGGGAGTATGCAGTAGAGAAATCAACAAATGGTTAAGAGTATAGACTTCAGGAGGGAAGTAAATCTGGACTGGGATTCAAGTTTTGCCTTGTTTCAGCTGTGAATACCTATTTGTAAAATCATGCTGATGTGCAGATACCACAGTGAAAATTAAATGAAAAAAGCAGAGCACATATATTTTTTTTTTTGGGGGGGGGGGTCCGGTCGTGGGGCCTGAACTCTGGGCCTGGGCGCTGTCCATCAGCTCTTCAGCTCAAGGCTAGCGCTCTACCACTTGAGCCACAGCACCACTTCTAGCTTTTTTCTTTTTGCTTATGTGGTGCTGAGGAATCAAACCCAGGGCCTCATGCATGCAAGGCAAGCACTCTACCACTGAGCCACCTTCCCAGCCCGCACATCTTATATACTGGGAATTTTCTAAATAAACATTAGATATTAGGACAATTGATATCTGCAAGCAATCTATTATCAAAGACCAGCAACGATACAAGGTGAAAGAGGTTCATCAGGAAGCACAGAGAACATATAATGGATGCATGGGGTATGTGGGGGGGAAACCATTCATTCTGTTGGAGATTGAGGGGGATATTGAGGAAATCCTCATCAAAAAATTTTAAGCCCAGGAACAGAAGAAAGAAATGGCTTAAACCTCTAAAAACATGGAGGCACGAAGTTAATTTGTAGCAAGTTTCAGAGAACTCTGAATAATACAGTAGGCTGGATATGTGGAAGGGAATGGTTGTATAGCATGTTGGAGAAAAGTAGTACCTTGTTGTAAAACATCTTACATGTGTGAACTTTTGAATATAAAGGA